AACAAACTCCAAAATGTCTTTGCCATAATTGAGGCTGTACACACATTATCATCAACTACTGCAACAAATTCTTCTGATAATACAGTAGGACAGTCCAATAATACAGAAACATTCTCAAACATTTCATTAAGTGTCAGCTCACTTTCAGTGTCATCTTTCTCCATTTATTTTGGCGCCAAAGAATCTGATACTTTTAAGAATCGTGCATGATGAAAATCAATTTTCATTCAACCTTGGAGTCACTGAATTCTATGCAGAGTGCAACATATGAATCAAACTCACAGATTTTTACTCACACTGCGATGTACTCGTTATCGTATTCCAAAGCCAACTGATGAGAGAGGAGAATTTTGTGTGACATTTGTAGGGGTGGAAGATGAAAGTAGCTTAGATAAAGAAAACTGGCTCATGTTCCAGGCTATTCCAAGGATATTTCAAAGCCAAGTTAGCCTTCTATGAATCATGTGAAATTATCATTCTTTAATTTCGCACCCCTCTTAAATCTCGCCCGTGAAGCCGGTGCTTTCCGTATTTTGTTCATTCCTTGAGAGGATATCTTTTCGTGTTAAGCGATTTTTGTTTCGTGTTAAGAGAAACAAAATGCATGAAAATATATAGTAGTATGTCGGGACAGTTGTATTTTTTCGTGTTAACCGATATTTTGTCTTAAGCATTTTCACATTAAGCATATTTCACTGTATATTGAAAATACATATGTATATAATAAATTTAATATAATAATGCAATACAATAGATGTAATGTAATCTATGAAATGTTCATAAACATAATAGTGGACATTTTGTAATTTGTTTCCAATTAAATGTTGTTATACTCATTGTCAGCAGAAAATAAAGTCATTGTGGGTAAAATAATAGCAAATGTGTGCAGAATTTATGATGCTACATACAGTTTCTCATATATGTGCAGTTAAATGTACCTATGTCACCTGTCTTACTTCCCAAATCAAAGTGCATGGTATGACATACCATACGACCGTGTATCATATGTTTAAGAATATTTTCTTCACCTGCTTTTCTTTCTCAGGGTTGTGGTATCAAAATTTTTATTCACAAGAAAAATCTGAAATTATGTGAGATTTAAATAAATCAGTTAGTGTGATTTTTTTTCATTTAAACTTTTAAGGGGCCAAACCAAACAGTGGTGGCCAAAATTGTGGACACTTTTATGTTTTTGAACTTGGTATGCTTATAGAAAACATTATGTTTCACAAAATGCAAACTTGTATACAGTCAAAAGTCGTTAATCCGCACTCGTCGGGACTTCAGCGATTCCGGATTATCGATTTTTCCGGATTATAGATCATCAGTTTAAATCTGGTAAGATGGCATGCAGAAATTAAAATTACAAAATAAATAATATGAAACCGTAATTTATGAAATAAAGAACATTTATGATCTAAAGGGTATCAAAATTTACAAAAAGAAAAAGCTTAATATTTATTTGTTTACTTTATTAAACATTTCTTTTAATGTAAGTTGTTTAAGTTCCTTTGTTTCATGTGATAATACTTTCTCTTTAATTCTATTAAACAGACATAATTTCTTGTTTAGTTACAAAGTTCTGCTGTTCAAGTCATATAATTGCTGTGTCGAGAATACTGACTAATTTGTCAATCAAAATTTTTTCATTTTCAATAACCTCTGTGCCACTTTCTTCACTATCTGAAGCAAATTATAATGACGAGAAACTTGATTTAAATCATATCAAAGACGGAGTACATCGAGATGAAATACTACATTTAATAAGGAATTATAAGCCAAATAAAATAAAAACATCTCCCCTGAAGATAAGGATAGTGCTGACAGATCATCTTCCAATTTATTGCGTGCCACGGCGTCACCCCTACCCCCGCCGCTGAGCATCGTGAAATTGATAAACAGATTTTGAAACATACTTTCGCTTTGTAGATCCTTTACATATTAGTAAATACATATCGGAAATTCTATTTGACATAATCGAAAGTTCAAGCTTGCTTTTATAAAATTGCTCTGACAGTCTGCAAAAAATAACAAGCCGGATCCAATTCGAAGATTAAGGAACAACGCAATCTGCAACATTTACTGAATGAGATAATTTTAGTTTAGCTTATACCCTCTGTTATACATTAAACGCGCATGCGTAAACGTATTATGCACACACTCATATTCGCAGCCGTAAAGGTCTTACGCGCACGCGTAAATGCCTATGCGCATGTGTCAAAGCGACACATGCACAGAAAGTTTGTAGCTTTGACGTCCGAATTATGGGTGTCCGAATTAACGACTTTTGACTGTATATCATTTTAAAGAGAATTTATTACTGAATTCAATACAAAACACAAAATTCAATTATTTGCAATACAAAAAAAGTTAAACGATAATAGTTATCGATATACATTAGATAGTGATGATTGCAGTAAGTTATCAGTACTTAATAGGGTACCCTTTATTTTTTATTACAGCTTCACATCGACGTTTCATTGAGCTGACCAGAGTTTTAAGCTCTTCTTTTGTTATTACATGATGCCAGGAAACAATTATAGCCTCAATTAGTTCCCTTTTATTTGATGGGCGCCTCATTCGGACAAGAGTTTTCAAATGGTCTTCTTCACTTCTTGCACTTCTGCTATTTTCTAATTTAAGAATATTTTCCTATTTTAGGGTTATGGTATCAAAATTTTTATTGCCAAGAAAAATCTGAAATTAAGTCAGATTTAACTAAATTAGCTCTTATGATTCTTTTCATTTAACCCTTTAAGTGGCCAAGCTATAGATATATGTTTAAAAATATATGTCATGATAAATTTAGGTATATAGACACACTGTAATACATGTCTTGGAGTTCAACTAATCTTCACTAGCTTTACATTTATTCTGGTCAGTGTTGCTAGATCATGCTATTTTTTGCAGATTTACTAATTTTGACAAATGTGTGTAACTAGATTTTATTGTGTATGTGAATTTTCTACTACTTCATGTTTATGTGAATTTTCTGCTACTTCATCATTTTGTTGTGCTACTATTTGCTATTAAATTTTAAAAAATGTTCTCAAAATTCATGCATGTTCATATAGTATGGGTCTATTAAAATTAATATATAATTAAAAAGTAATAAATTAAGTAAAAGTTGGTCACTGGAAAATCTGCAATCGTAGCCCATGAAAGCATGGGCACTCAGTTTTCAACATTAGTAGCTGGTATTCTCATGTGTTTCATTGCTAGTGTTGTTTAATATTTTGGTGAGCTAGAGCAGGATTCAAATGTTAAAGTCAGATTATAGCTGGTGTATTAATTAAAGTGTGAATTATGAGTAACATGAAAAAATTCAGCATTACTTTTCAAAATGCTTATCTTAAAATACCCATGTTTGAAAATCAGTCAGAAAGAACGAAACAAAACAAAAGTTTATTACAGGTTATATAAAAGTGAACTGAAAGCATATAAAATCATTTTACTCAGTACTTCTATAAAGCTTAAACAAAATTTTGTGTAAAAAATGGATAGTTGTCTTTGAGTGTGTTCACTGTATTTGTTGTATAACATATTTTTATTTCAAATGCTACATGCTCCCTAATGAATTTTAAGATGAAAAATTTTTAGAATAATTGATATAAACAGTTTAAACAAAACAGAGTCAAACTTTTAGCAGCTAACACATGTCTGTTCAAAACTAAAATAACTATCTTATTGGGAATAGCAATGCAATTAAATCTAATGGTGTTCGAAGGCAGCTTTCTGACAGCTGTCAATATCTGATGAAGTGAAATAAGTTCAATTATGAGGACAGAATATTAATTAAAGAGCATTGGTAATTAAAGTAAAGTAAAAAAATTGGGGGGAAAGCTGTCTACTCAAAGAATTATCACAACAATGTAAGCAATCCAAACCTGGAAATCATCTCACAATTGATGTAAATATATTAACTGAAACATAACAACCTAAATTAGAATTAATTAAAATAAGAAATAGAGATTAAAACAATGAAAAATCAGGTATTGGGATGAAGAATTTCTTTAAAACTAATATACATAATATAAAATCCAAGAATCAAACTACAATCTGTAAACTAGGAACCCTCAGAGACTGAATTTGTGATGTCAGAAGTCATGTGAGCTTATGAAACAGTGCATCACATGCTATGTTTTGGGACATTTTGGTTTTCTTGCTGCTTCAGCTTAAAATTTTCTGGCATTGCTGTTGTGAGTGAGTTTCAAACTTTTCAACTAAATAGACACAAATGTAGTATATTAATTTCTGATGTAGTTTACCATTTGCGAGGGTTTGAATAAAAATTATATGATACAAAAATATCAGCCATCTGAATCTGACTGAAAACAAGAGCTTTAAACTGTTGTAATTTTATATGCAATGTAACTTGTTCTGTCAAAAGCTACAAGATTCATTTAATTTATTCCGTTCATTTATCAAAGGCTACAAGATTCAAACTTATCAAATAAAATCTATCTTTGTGTTTTATCTAACTTAAGACAGTAAGACAGTAGTGATTCAATGTAGAAAATTCCACAGCTGACACCATCATCATAAATACTAAAATTTTCACATATGTGCAGTTCTTTTGAGTAAAACTGCTTGCCTCTCAAATCTATATAAATTTTGAACTGTAACAAAAAAGAAAGCTGCATATTAGATAATCATTTTTTTAATGAAACTCAAACATAATGCCACAATACATTTTGAAATGTGCCAGTATAAATATTGAGAGAGAAAAAGGCAAAATTGTAGGGCCATTTTGGAATTATAATCTAGAAATACCATTTACACTTGGCCTTTTATGAAGTTTAGAGTTAGGGGCCAACCCTTGGCTACCACTTGCAGGGTTAAACTTGTCATATGCAGTTGGTATTATTTTGAAAAATGCATTTAACATGAAATAATTGAAATTTATAATACAGTTTACAATAACTACTTTTATGGATTTTGCTACGTGTTATCTTTAACATACTGTTTTTTTTTTTTTTTTAATTTTGTCATTTTTATAGGTTACTCATACATTTGACAATGTTATAAAAACTAGATATGTGTTCTTTGAACATTCTGGATCAGACTGCCAGTTTTGGGCTGGACATTTTGGAAGTAAAATGACTGGTGCCTTTGTGCGTATAATTTGTGAATAAATTTTTTACCCTTGTTTCAGTGGAATATAATCCACTGTTTAAAAGTACTAAATTATTGTATTAATTACATAGTTTCTATAATATCCTTTACAAAATTGTTTAAACATTTATTTGTAATGTACAAGGTGACTATAATTAATGTTACTCTATTCAGAACTGTCTACAGTTGTAATTGTTCTTAGGAAAGAAGTGAAACTTTGTATATGACATAAAAGAGATAGACAAAGACATTTAACAAAAACAACAAAAAAGAAAAATTAGGGTACTTACATATTATCCCACTGACTGTGGAAACTGTCACCAAGCAGCATGAGTTAGCACCAGTGTGATGCAATAAGACACTCTCAACATTTCACTTTTGTTTGATGTAACCCCAGTTGACTATTGGGGAGCCATGCTTTGTTTTTATTGAATAAAGATATAAATTAACTGTTATTACTGTATTTTTTGTTTCATTTAAAAAAATGAATAAAATTTGGGGCCAGCCTTCTACATAACAGAACACAGTTGGTTACTTTTAAGATTTATTTTTTGTTGCATTTAAAAAAATGAATAAAATTTGGGGCCAGCCTTCTACATAACAGAACACAGTTGGTTACTTTTAAGATTAGAAGCTCCTATCACTAATATATATATGTGTGTGTGTGTGTGTGTGTATTAACAGACACGATATAACCAGCTGAATATGGCTGACAAAACAGTAATAGATTGAAACAATTACTTGTGGGAGGTGTGTACTCAAAGAGGTTTAAACAGAGCTTCTGGTAAGGTCAGAAGGCTTAAAAAAATAGCAGGAATTGATGAAAGCATTTTTGGAAAGTTCAGAAACAAAATAGGTCGAATATTAATTGTTTATTTCAAAGAGGTGTTAGTTCTGTCAGAGTTCCATAGGAACAACTGGTGCAACTCTGGCAGGACTGCTGCAAATTTTCATGTTTCGGTGGTAATCATCTTTCTCGGTTGATGGGTTGAAACATAGATACCCAAAATAGTTCTAAATATTTTATTAATAACTTACACATTTAGCTACATTTTTTTATACACTTTTGGTTACAGCAAAGCATGTTCCGTAAGGTGACCATCATTGTTAACTACCATCTGTAAAATTACAAGATGGCAAGTTCATTTAACAGAACGAAGTGTGTGTTGTTTGAATGCGTCTATAAGTGAAATGTTGCCTATAAGATCAAGTGATGTACTTGAGTTGTCACAGATGAATATATGTTTCAATGTTCCTGAAAACCAAAAATCGCATGTATTCAGGTTTGGGGATCAGAAAAAGCACATATGATGAAAAAAATGGATAATGATTCCTTCTTCCGTAAAATTCTTTTGAAAGCATGCTTAACATATCATGCAATTTATAGAGGAGTTCTTTCTTGCTTAAAGATGATGTGTACAAGCTACTGATGCCCTTGCAGAAAAAAAGTTATAAATTCATTTTCGAAGTGCACTGCATATCACTGCTCAGTATTGAGCATGCACTGAACATGCCACATTAACTCCTTAGAGAAGTACAGTCCCAGAATAAATGATGCAATAAACTCACACTATGCTGTCACTTTTAAGGAATGGAACAAAGCATCTAGAATGAGTCACAGATTTTATGAGTTCCAAATTTGGCAGTTGTCAGTATCCGCAAAACTGCGTGAATGAAGTATGCTTTGCCTATCCAGAACATATTATTTTTGAATTAATGCAACAGCAAGCAAAAAACTGGAGTTGTGGATCAAAACAACATATGAAACAAGTGTAAGTGAATATTTGTAATAATAATATTAGAGAATATTTTAAAGTACATTTCACAGTTTCTCATGGACAGTTAGTTGAACAGGGCCTCTGATGCTTATGCTGCACAGCGAACACTGGTGTTGGCCTGAAAATTTGAAACTCTGTCTTTCTTACTTCTATGCCGCCCAGGCGGGATAATGGTTAGTGACGGTTGTTGTACTGAAGGGCCCGGGTTCGAATCCTGGAGAAAGCATGAATGTTTATGAGTATATAATGTCTGTGCAGCAAGGAAGCACTCAATATAAACAGCAAATAGGAATTCTCTAAAAGATTTGTCGTAGAAAAAGAAAGGTGGAAGACCATTGGACTGCAACCTAGGTTGTTCTCCTCTGGATTCCCATCTGGGGCTAAAGATTAGCTGTCAGCAAGACCTGGGAATACAAGAGCTGGCCTTATTTCAAATTTTTTCATGTACTAGGTCTGTACAAACAATTTTTCTTCCCCTTCCAGGATGAACAGCCAATGATCCTGCTGCTTCAAATTTTGTCAGTCTTCAGAGTTTTTAGTGATTAGACCTGTTTCAAGCCTTTTCTAAGTCTGAAATATCTGTAAAGCAGCTGATGCAGAATATGCATTTCAGTGAATGAGTTTAATCAACAAATCATGATCGTGCACCTCATGGTTATTGTGAGTGGTGATTACACTAAAAAACATATTTTACGTTAATTTTTAGAGGTTGTTTTGGCAATTATTGTGTGGCACTGAAAATATCTGCATATGTAATAGGGAATATGGATGTTCCACAGTAAAGCACCTTGTAGTGATAACACTTAAATCTAATTTGACTTTTCACTAAATGTCTTTACCACCACTTTGTTGTGTTGTAAAGTGTTTTGTATTTGTCTTAATTATATGCTTATGACTGTAGGCTGCTCTGGATAAAGGAAATTTAGTTTTGGTCACTTTGTAATATTGATTAGTTTGTAAAATTGCAGAATAGATTTTGATCTCCTAATTAACATTTCAAAATAGTCCTCAAATGCATCATCTAATAAAAAAGAATTTTTTTTATTAGCTTTTAAACTTGAATTTCTTAAAATTTCTTCTGATTACTTCTTTGATAATAATTCATTCTTGTTAATTCTTATAATAATGTTTTATGTAGTCCATTAAATGAAAGGGAAGGAAGGGTAAATATACCCTTTCTTCCCTGCACATAATATCTATATGTTTGTAGTAAAAATGGCATGTAAAATTATGCCTTTTTTTTCTTTATGTGAGAGCTTTTAAAGTGAATCAAAGGTATTGTTAAAGTAAAAACTCCTGTAAATTTGAAATAATGTTTATTTCTTAAATTGTATGTGTAATGTTATTTCATATAATCTAGAAAGTGAAAATAAAAATTAAAAGTCTTAAGACACTCATTTTTGGGAGAAAAATGTAATTGAGGCATTTTGAAAATAATATGCTTCCCCTCAACACCCCAAAGCAGCTGTTATTTTTTCCTTATATTCTTGCAAGCTACAGGTTGTGGATTTCTCTTCAAATAATAATTTCAGAGGAGTAGGAAAAAATAGACAGTTATTGGAAAACTAACAATGCACAAGAAAAATTAATAGTAGCTGAAAAATAACTCAAAGGGGAGTACAATTTTATAAACTATTTCTTTTGTATGTGTTGTAATATTTAATAATAATTAGATTTTTTGAAATCTAATTTGTTAAATGTTTCTTCAGTTGTATTTTTGTATAGTTAGTGCATTTTTATTAAATATTTATTTTGTTTACTTAACTGATATACAGGTGTTTTCCCTTTTTTGTCAGGTTAAGAAAGCAAGAGTATTGCTGAAAACCTTAAATATCCAAATGTGAAATCATTCTTTTTACAGAGCACCTATATACTTTTTGTGTCAAAAAAATATCACTTCAGAAATGTGCAAAAACTAAAAACATGCGTAATAGGTATATTATATGTACAGTATCAAAAGCTGTGTATAGAGTATATAGTGTATAGTATATAAAAGCTGCATACAGAGTATGTTGAGTATAATTATAAGAAAATGACTAACAACAGGATAAAAAAACATACAATTTTGCAGTGTAAATAAACAAAAGCTTAGCTTTAAATTTAAAAAACATGATGAATGAAACCAAAAGAGCAGATTAAACACAGAATATATGTATTTTGATTATAAACTGAGAGAACTAGAAAAACAGGTCAACAAAAAGTAGGAAACACCTGTTTATTTTTGTATTGCATATTATGTTCTATTTATTAGGTATCATTTTATTACTTTATATATGCAGATTCTATTTTTTTCTTTCATTTTCTCCAATTTCTGTGCCTGGTGCTTATGCTGAGCAAATTATTGAACTATGAAGTAAGTCAAATGTATTCTGTTCTGGTTAAAAGCTGTGGTGTAATTTTTATTTTCTGCCATCTGAAATTTCTGTTCTGCTCATTAGAATATGAATGTTATTTTGAATTAGTTGCTCAAGTGCATGTATATCAGAATAAAACTCACAGAAAGGGATTTAATCAAGATTTTTGCCATATGCCATTTGATATGTAAGTGTTCAGGTTATTTCATGTAATGCAAAATTTATATATGCTCACTTTTCTTTGTCGTAGCACTGGAAGGATTAAATTTGATTTTGACAAACAGGCAGCTGTGATACTTGGTAGAAATGGATCAAATTAAAAGTAATGAACATGACTGCCTTTGGCTGAATGTCATATTTATTTACTTAATTTTTTTAAATTAACCTTTCTGTTCCAGAGGCATGGTTGTGGTGGCATAGATATCATACAACTCATTTGCATTGATGCTACTGTGCCAACATATAAAATGAAATCAATATCAATCTTGAGATCCGACCGGCTCACATGGGTTCGGTATAACATCCTAAAATATCTTTTTATGTTGTGAGTTGGTTGTTAAAGTTAACTGTAAAATTTATTTAGGCACATTTATGTAATTGAAAGTGAATTATCATATATTTAGAAAGCAAACAGATTGTTAAATAATGTAAATCTCACCATTGCTGGATATCACCAGAGTTATACTTGGAAAGAAATTGTCAGTGTTTCACTTGAAAGTGGTCAACTTTGGTAATGAATTGCAAAATTTAAAACTATATTCTATAAAAAGGTATATTTTATACATTAGCATTGAACCTTGTGGGACAAAAATAATTGCTGATCTGTAAAAGGTCTTGGAGTATAAAGGATTAATAAAATCATCTATTCACATTCACTTATAATCAAATGTGAATGGATTTTATTTTTCTGAAAATTTAAAGCGTGATTTTAATATTCTGTTTGATGATTTAATGGACATTACAAAGTATATATGTAATTGTTATTTTATTTGGATATGTTTATTAAATGTTGAATTTGTAATTATTTAGCTTTTGTAGAAATTATTTATAAATGAAAAGTAAGGGAAATGTATGTATATAAATGATTTAAAGACAAACTTTCTTCTTTGAATTAAATGTTTTCATCAACATCTTTGGTTTATTTCTTGTTCTTATTGATCCAACTCTTAATTCGTATTGCATTTAAATTGTAAAGCTTTTGTAGAACGTTGATAGCTTTAAGTCACATTCATAAATCAAAACTAATTCAGATTTATGCTAACTACATCTGTAAAATTAAAGTTACTATCCGCTTTAACAAGGAAAGTAATGGCGATACAATCTTACATTTTTTGTAATCATTTAGTTAAAAGTTTTTAATTACAAACCTCTGCATTTGCCCATATATTCAACCAAAACCTTTCCCATTGGAATGGAGCAAAAATATTTAAAATTTCTTGTCCACCAGTTATAGCTTTATTTTTACCTCTCCGTTCTTTCTTTCTAGAAAAGATAGGAAGTTTCCCCCCGCATCCTCTTCTCCTCTCTCATTTGCAAAGGAATAATTAAGAAAAAAGAGACAGAAAATAAAAAAAAAAAAAATTTAAAAAAGAAGAAGAAGAAGAAATTGTTCATGAAGAATTGGGGAGTAATTTGGACTTGCAATCTTTGGGTCTTGTTGGGGGCCCAGGCAATAGAATTTAAAGGTAGCAAAAATTTTAGACTTTAAAACGCCAAACAGCAAAATTTAGGGATGACAAAATTGTTAAAATGTAAGAGAAGCACTGGGCAGCAGAATTTATGATCCACAGAGATTCAGTGGTCATCAAAAGGTGTATCACCAGTCCTGGTCTTTCCTCAGGTGCCAGATGATTTTCTTGACAAGACACAGGAGGACAGAAAATGCATGAAAATCAGATTTAGAGCAATGGTTCCGCGAACCTTGGATTCCATGTTTTTGCTTCTACATCAGTGGTATTCAGCCTATGGTTCATGAAAAATTAGGTTTGCAAGGTAAGTGAAAAAATGTAAATAAGTTTAATTGAATACAAATACATCATCGACAAACTTTTCTGAGCCAAAAATTTGATTTTTAAGATGAGATTGTTCTGTCTTTACTAATTAAACTTGCTTAAAATGATTTCAAATCTAGTTTGGTTCGTATATGCCTTGGACAGCGTCTTGTACTATCTGTGTGTCACAAGAAACTGCCCTCGACAGATAGTCTGCAACTGTATGTTGCTGTAGATATGAGCCCTAACCCATTTTTCATTGGGTTGTCTTGAAGAAGGGCTTTACAGTTTGTCGTCTTGACACACTTAACGACAGCCAACAACTAGTACGAGACATAATAGCAAGATCAATACACCTGGTAGAGAGTAACATCGCATCCATTTTCAAAGAACGTGCACACAAACAAGTGCTGAAAACACATATTCTACTTACCATCAACTTGGCACATTTGTGAGTTTATCATTTTGGTGTAAAATTTCACATTTAACTTAGTATTTGTGCTAAACGAATTGCTTCTAAAGATGTAAATTTTATGTTTCCTCATGGATAAGTGACTAAAAACTGGCCAGATAATTGAAAAAACACATAGTGAATGAAAATGTGATGAGAAGAGCGCTTCGATTTCTTCCACTTTTGACCCCCACCAATTATGTTTGGTTGCTTTTGGCTCAGCAGACTCGAGGCATAAAGAAGTTAAAGCAAACAAATGAGTTTGAAATGAATTTATAAAATATGGTTTTCTATATTTCTAAGATAATGAACCAAGGGCTAGGTGCATTCTGTATCTGGCAGTATTGTCAAACGAGTCACTGGAAACGAAATAAACTGCAGAGGACTATACACACCAAACATCCAGAATCCAAAGATAAAACAATTGAATTTTTTTCAGGGAGGGAGGGGGCTGGGAACACATGAAATATAAGTAAAACACAGAATTGTTTATATTATATTGTTTATAAGTAAAACAATAACCCATATTTTACCCATATTGTTTATAAGTAAAACAATATGACTTTATGTCTGTTTTTTACCCATATTAACAAAAAGGCACTGGAGGCTTCTTATCGAGTGAGGTATTGTATAGCTAAAACTACCAGGAAGTGCACAATTGCTAAAGGGTTAATTGTTCCAATGGCTCAGGATAGCAGTAGGCATTATGTTTGTCTAAAAAGAAAGGCAACAGGTATATCACTCTTTGATACCGCAATTGGCTGCAGAATATACGAAATGGAAGATAACGTGAAAAGCGAACTTAAAAGTAAATTTTTCGATCTTCAGTCGGATGAGTTCACTGGTTGCCAAAACGCTGCATAACTAATTTGTTTTGCAGAATATGAATGCAAAAATGAAGTGGCTGAAAATTTTCTTTTTTGCAAGGAACTATTAAGGACTACGGGAGAAGAAATTTTTAAACTGGTATATTCTAACATCACGGGAAACAGTACTTTTTGAAAAATTATGGAGCTTGTGCCACGGTAGGAAAAAGCAGCTAATTTCTAGCCCGAATCAAAGAATGTGACTATATGATTCATAAAAATACACTTGTTCTGAAAAACATGTCACCGAACTTGAAATCTGTTACTGATATTGGAGCTAAAATAATAAATTTTACAAAGGTACATCTTTATCTTTTCGCAGATATGCGGAGAAACGGAAAAGTGAACATAAACAACTTCTTTCACATTCACATAATGGTACATTTTTTTTGCACTTTTTACCTGATGCAGAATGGCTATGTATGTTGGTGGGTTGCCTTTTTAAAATTAAGACAAAGAACACTTTTCACCAAATATCTCGAGAAATGCTGGATAGGAATAAATGAAATCAGGTTTATTATATGACAATATGTGTACAAAATAATAATAAAAATGCCATTCATTAGCATGAGTTATGGCTAAGTGTCTAGTGTGGTCTAGATTTGGGATTGAAAGATGGCAGTGAAAATGTGCCTAGTATGGTATGTGGTCGCCTCTGATAGATAGACAGCATGCACAAGGAGTAGGCATGCTGTTAACAAGAAAGTTCAAGAGTTTCTGTGGAAGTGGCACCCATTCTTCCAGCAGAGAAGTTTTTAACTCCTGAATGGTTCTGGATGGGGCTTGGCATATTGCAATAACCCTCCCAAGAGCATCCTAAGTTTGTTCAATAGGATTAAGGTCAGAAGAGTTTGCTGGGCAATCCATTTGGTCAGATAGTCATCAACCAGGTGGGCCCTATGTGGTCGTGCATTGTCGTCCATAAAATTAATTCAGGGCCAACAGCCCTGAAAAGTAGCACATACGGCTCTATGATCTCCTGCCTGTACCTTTGCTCATTCACGGAACCAGTGTCAAACACAGAGCGGTGTGCGGGCATCTTGCATGATCACTACCCAGACCATCACTTCTCTACCACCATATCGGTCCTTTTCCATGATGTTGTTGAGATGGTATCGGGTCCCAGGTTCCCACCATATCAATAATCGCCGAGAATCAAGTTATAGACTGAATCTGGACTCATCCGAGAAAAGAGCGTTAGCCCATTGAAGATGTGTCCTGTGTTGGTTTTATATGCACCATTGTAAAAGCTCTCTTTTGTGGGAGGGAGTGAGTACGATGCAAACAGCAAGCTTTCTGGCATACAGTCCTGTCTCTTGGAGCCTTTTGGCAACTGCTTTCCTTGAAACTGATGTCCCTTTGGCAGAAGCGAGGTCATGTGATAGGTTGTGTGGCTGGTAGACGTCCTCTGGTGCTTGGCTGAAGTACCAAATATCGGT